TTATGAAATCGATTATATAGTGGCTAAATAAAAAATTTAGGGACTAATTGAAGATTTTCTGTGGGAATCCACCTTTATGTATACCGCTCTCGGTTAATTCAGCTGGTTAAGATCGGTATACTAATAAGTGCGTCTAGGACCAATTCTGGCCACGAAAACCTATCCCAACTAACTTTTGTAGGATACTGAAGGCTATGGTTGTAGGAGTTATATCAGTGTATAACAGTTACAACAATGAATGTTGAATCTTTTATATATAAACACTTTCACCATCTAAAAATGTCAGTGTCTATATACCTAAGATCGCCCAATAAAAATGGTAAGGTAAATTGTATTATAATACTCGGAATATACAAAAGATTCTAGATATCGTTGAGCTAGTAGTAACTTCTGCACGTTTCCAGAAAGTCAATGACATTTCATAATATTTGAATCTTTGTATCTATATAAACACATTTCAAGTTCTAGACATTCCCCATTACTCATTTAATTTTTACCAATATTAAAAATCGTGCTATGCCTCACGCTTTCACTCATCCTCCTACAAAATTGTAAGACTTTTACTGCAACTGATTGTCCATGTGTGAGTCAGTCTTTATAGCCATATATATATATATATATATATATTAATATATATATATTAAACAACATTAATCTTTTGCTCAAGAATTTCACATCATAAATAAATCCATAACAACAAATCCACAAATGGTGACATTTTTTTAATCGCTTTTTTAATCCGCCTCATACAAATCTCAGCATAACACCGAAAATATCAACACCATTACAATCTTTTTATCACTTAATTCCATTTCATTTCTGTTTCAAAAGATCATCAATCAGGGATTAAACAAAAGCGGCAGCACCCCAAATTCTATAGACATTTACATGTCAATATTTATAATAAATTGTAAAGAATAACTGTTTTTGTTTTCAAAATAAATAATAAAAATCCCCAAAACAATACAAAAGTAGTCAAATTTGTGCGGTTGCGTTTTTATGATTCTCTTTGGTTTTATCTCGCATGCCAGAAAAGAAGGTGAACAGAACAGAAGAAAAAATGGCACCAAAAAATATCCGCAATACTTGACCGCATTTCTAGAAAGCTGCGTCACAATCGAAATTCTTCAAACAAAACTGTGGCCCCCTAACACAACATTCACATCAACGAACCCAATTAATGTTTGAATACATCAAAAAACGGGTTGTCTCTTAAATTCTTAATGATTTTTTTTCTTCGGTTATTTTTTGTTGTCATGTAGAAATTTTCATTTCATTCATTTGCATTTTTCAAAGATTTGAAAGACAGAAAGACATTTTTTGCACAGTGATATTATAAGTGTTAAAATACATACTATCCTAAAAAAGCTCACTTGAGATAAAAGACAACATAACTATCAAACCAGTATAAACGGTGTTATGTTCCGCCCGACGGGCCTTTTTTACCCTCCAGCATGAGGATGACACTACGAGATGACATTACGAGAAAACTCATGTTATGATAGCACCTTGAACATAGCGAGAAAAAAATGATTGAAATTCCCAAAATATCGAATAGTGGGGCTACCGTTACATGGACCTACAATAAAATGGGGATCAGTATTGATATTTTTAGTAGTAAGACTCATTGATTGAAAAACGTGTCAAAACCCCCTATATTGGAGGTTATCATATTATGGGGGCTACCCTTAAACGTAGGTCAATATTCATATTTTTTTTTTGGTAAGCGAGTGTGTTATTCAACCCAAAATACCAAATTACAGCCAATTCAATTGGAAAACGTGTCCAAAATCCCAAAAATACCGAATATTGGGGATACCCGCCATATGTGGGCTATCCTGAAGCTTCTGTCAATATTAATAAATTTTGGTATGGAGATGGGCTATACAATGAGAACCCAAAGTACCAAATTTCATCCAATTTGGTAGAAAAGCTTGTCCAAAATCCGCCAAAATATCGAATATTGGGGGTACCGTTATAAGGGGGCTACACCAAAACTTGGACCGATATATTCCATTTGAAATACCAAACATCCTAGGAGTAGTAGCAATGTCTGTGCAAAATTTTAGAGCTCTATCTTAAATATTGCGATCTCTATTGAGATTTCAACAGCCAGACAGATGGACATGCGTAAATCGCCATAGAACAGATAAGAAATATATATTCTTTGTGGGGCCTCCGGTGAATAGTTCGATGTGTTGCAAACGGAATGACAAATGACGAGCCATCATCGTGAGAACCCATAAAATAAAATAAAACCAGTTAGCGGAGCAGTATAGTCGGACGGGGCCGACCATACGATACCCTACACAACTACCACAGAACTCTATCTTTTTTCGGATTTTTATTCCGAGCCTGGGTAATAGTTCGTTATAGTTGCACCATCTTGCCCGATTAGAGGTCAACAGCACCTTCTAATTACTTGTCCAAATACCCTTCACAGTTGTGAAGTTCGGGTTATAATCGTAGCCTATAGATCAAATCGAAAAAAAAACACAAAAAATAAGTTTTCGGTCCACTTCATCCCACAATTATTATCTGATCATCACCGAAAATTATAGGCGTTGTCCTTTACCACAACTGGAATCTCATGGAAAATTTCAAATCACCCTCTAGTGTGGTAATGGGTTACTAAATAATATCGCTGTACGTAAGCACCTGTAAAAATTTACGTGTAACTTCCACATCTTATTACATACGACAATATAATTGGTATAACTTTAAAGGCCAACCACTCCTTTTGGATACACTATCAACTTCTCGGGTCTATGTCTTTCAGGAGTAAATCTATACGCCCCAGAATGCAAATTTTGTAATTTTTCACACAATAGTCAGGGTCCATTTGACCCACTAAATATTAACCGATCTTTATCAAAACCTGCATGCTTATTCTCTGGCCCGAACCCCTTCTCCATGCTGTGTTTGGGCCATAATTGCGGCCTATAGAGCGACAAGAAAAACCGACAAAAATAAAGTTTTTGGTCCATTTAATCCCCTAAATATTAACCGATCTTTTCCAAAAACAATAGGGGTCTTCATTGACCAGAACCCATCGTACATGCAAAATTTCGTGAAGATTGGTCCATAACTGTGACCTGTATCGTGTTTACAAATTATAATGGACAGACGGACGGACGGACGGACACACATGTTTAGATCGACTCAGCTAGTCGAGATATGACGATTATGACTAGGACTGATATTTCGCTATTAATCATGTAGAAATAAATCTCCTGGAGCAGATGCTATAAAGCTGCGATCCTGAGGAGAAGAAGTCATCTTTAAATTTCCTTAATCATATAGGAATGCTGTTTTATTCGTGAAGTCCTTCAGTTTTTTCCATTCACACCATCATACGTCGATTAATTCGCGAAATGTGTAATTTCCTACGAATTTTGTTGGGAAGCTTGAAAAGGCTGGGCAGTGGCACAGGGAATTTAAATGCTGTAAAACTTATTGGCAGAATAATCAAAGCAAACATTGGACAGAGTTCCATGAGGAAATTTGACTTCACACCTCACACCCCCTTTTTTGCTTCCGGCGAATTTTTTGTGAACTTCGACATACTCCGAAATAAGGTAATGGCTTATGATTATGATGTGGTTGTTTTTGTAACAGCCCCTTCGGATCATAGACCCCTCTGTCGTGGAAACGCTGATGATGTGGTCGTGCTCATTAGTGGAACATCCCATCGGGTGGACGAAATATAACTGTATTCTTGCAATGAAGAAGAGTTGTGGACTAACACCACATATCGTACACTGGTTGTACGATGAAGTTGTTCTTCTCGAACGGATCGAGAGAAAATTAAAATGTGATACGACTCGTATTTTGTGTTCAGGGCAGTCATGTTCGAAGATTTGCTACATTGATCAGCGTTTAGCCTATATAGAGGACATTTACGGTCAACCAATTTGGCTGCTATTTAGCTACTACATTTCTTATGGGGAGAAATTCCCTGGAAAGCTATTATCAATTTTGAGACACATTGTTTTTAAGTATTTTGGACAAGGTTTGCAAGCGATTGGATATAATTTCATATTTTCGGTTCTCATTGGCTTCGCAATGTCCCTAGAGAATATAATCAATATTAATCCAGCTTTAGGCTTAGCCCCTATATAACGATATCCACCTATTGTCGGTATTTTACGGATTTAGGAGCCGTTTTTCGATTCGAATTGGGTTTAAAGTTCGTTTACATTGTACCGGATTTGGTTAACCCAATTGAATTGTCTATTCCATTAAATATATGCACATAAAGTAGGTTAACCCGGTAAAAAATTCGAATGTAAATGCCGCATTAAAAACATTAGATAGAATCAACATTTTTATAACTTTTAAATCCGATTATCCCAATTATTTTCCATCTTTGTACATTGAAATATTGTTTTTTTTTTTTTTGAATTTTTGTTATAGTGGTGGTGTCTCACATGTAGTAAAAAATTAAATATCACCACTTCATTATTCCTCCTCCAAAACCACTGTGCAAATTTCAAATGAGGTGTGATCCAGCCAATGGCTATATGAAATCTCTTACAGAATATTAATTAAGCTGAAATGCGAGAACTTGAACTTTCATTTCGTCTTGACAATATGTGGGCCATATAATTTCATTTCATAATTATGTGTGTTTACTTTAACAGCTTTGCCCCGTCGAACATCTACAAAGATAATAATTGTTGATCTGAATAAAATATTTGTGTTTTTTTTTTCTTCAACAAAAAACAACAACAAATATTTTTTAAAGACATAAACTGAAAACATAATTGTTTACCTGCTAATTGCCAGAGGAGCTTACCAACCAAAAAAAAACGAACTTCATTGATGGCCAACAGAAAATGTTTAGTGTTAATGACAGATTTTTACTTTCATTAGAAATGTGGTTTTTAAGAATAATTTATTAGTATGTGTGTGTGCTTTTTTATTTTTTTTTACCAAAGAAAGTTGACTAATTTCATTTTCATTTTTGTCATTTTTTTCTTCTTCTTCTTCATTTTCAGATAACACTAATTTGTGGTTTAGTGGGACAAGTCGCCTTGAAACCATTGGAAGAATCATCCAACACCAATGATGCCACAGATGCTTTGATTGAGTAAGTAGCAACAGCTGATTGTATTTCTGCCAAGTCTATTCGTATGTTGTTCTGCATTTGCATCATTTATCAGCAAGTCTGTCTATCTTTCAACATCTAGCTTCGAGCATAGCCTTTTAACAAAATTTCAAAATAAAATAAATCATTTAATTTCTGTTGTTGTTGTTAAATCATTAATTTCTTTCTCTCATCATACATTTCTATCTCTCGCCATCTGTCTGTCTGTTTGCCTGCCTGTCACTTTTACTTTCCTCTACTTTTCTGTTTCTAGATTACATATTTTGAGATATGTAAAATGCATGTTAGCCATATGTATGTTTATGTGTCTGTGTTTAGTAAAAGAGAAATTCATGTCTCACTGTCGATATGTATGTAGCATGCATTCATAATTAGTTAAAAAATAATTTTATTTTTCATAGAATTTCGAGTTGTATTTTTAAATATTTGAAATATGCAAATTATATTTGGTTAATACCATCAACGTTGGCCGAGAACTGGGAGAGACTATTTGATTGTTGTTTTTTTACAACATTCTCGAACCTTGGAATATAAATCGAAGGTCAATTTTTTTCTGGTGTTATTTTATGTCTTAATCGATTTTCAGTTTCAAAATTTAAATGGTTTACAGATCGTAGACATGAATCTGCGATAAAACCTACATTATGTATTTCATCAATGGAAGCCCTGAAGTCCTCTATCTTTATATGATCTGTCAAAGGACAACATAAGTTATTTTATCCCTTAACTGCTGCTCAAAGTCTTCCTTTCTTGGAAGGGCTGCAAAAGATCTTCTATTTCAAAAAGCTCTGTAGAAAATCTTCGTCCTAAAAAGGATCTGAAGAACATCATAACCTGAACTGAACTAAACCTATAAAAGAGTTTCCGAAAGGTTTCGTAATGCTGCATAAAAGATCGGAGGTAAATCAGGGACTAGGGCTAGTCTGAAAATGTTCAATCCTATGCTCTATTTATAAAAGATCAATTTAAATTATGTAATATTTCGCCATGGTTTCGTTATTTTCTAGCTTTGTCTCTGAACCGTGTTAATCATGGTTCCAACATAAGAGATACCGTTTGAGGTTTAGACTACGGCCCTGAGCTCTGTAGGCATGTGCCTACAAATGTTTAAGCTTGTATTCTATTCATTGGAGACCTGGTTAGCCATTCTTCTATGCTTGGATTCTATTCATTGGAGACCTGGTTAGCCACGATGCCTGAAATATTTTAATAATGGATCTGGATACATTTTTAATAAAGTTTCGAACCTTGGGTCCGGAGATCTTAGAATTGTATGTTATACGTTACATTTCAGGGTATTATTAATAGCAAATGTATTGAGGGGCCAATGAGAATTATTGTTTGGAAAACGGCTACAGGAATTAAATATGTTTGCCGTAGATCCGGGATATTTGGCCCATGTGTTAGTAAAACTTTTCGATCCTGTGTACTATTCATAGCAGTTGGAGACTTCTAAATCCAGTATGGATTTAGGTTTTGGAATATTTTAGGAGTGGGTCTAAAATGAATCCTTTCATTCCATGCTGGCAAATATTTTGCTTTGCATCCCTGACATTTCTGCCTTTTGAAGAAAACTTTTGGTCCTACGATACGGGACCTTTCGGATATGCGGAAGAAGCACGTCATTCTTTCTTCCGACTTTTTCCTACTACTGAAACATAAATGTTTCAAACCATGAGTCAGAATATTTTGTGTCTGTACTTTCTCAACTTGCTTTACGTGAGTTACCTATCTACATTTTCAGAATTTTTCTTTAGATTTATGTCTCGAAATTGTCAAGTTCTGGTTGAGCTGAACAATTGGTGTGTTTCCAATTGTTCAGCTGTAAGCTGGAATAAATCTAATTTGAGATTTATTTTAAAAATATGTTCATGATGTGGTCGAATTAAATTAGAAAACAAGTTTTTAAATAACTGTTAGGTTTTATTAAATGAAATCCGAATAATTCATGAAACTTTTAGAAAGCTTTTAAGCTGTTTTTCTCAATACCGCCAAAAACACATTTTATATAGTATATAAGAAAATAAAATAAACAAAAATCCCACCCATAAATAAACTCAATTCAAGCAAAAGCCTAAAACAAAAACTTCACTTCAACATTTCGTTTGCAGAATTGAAAAGCAACGACTCATTAAATTCCCTGAAGAATTGGATGATTTCCGGCGTCTTGGTGGCCAAAATACAAGCAAAACCGATGAGGCCAAAAGGATATTGGAAGAAATTGAAAAAATCAATCAGGCCTTGGGTTATGTGAAAAAATCAGATCATTCCCGGACACCAGCCATATTGGACTCATCACAATATCTATTCCCCAATACTGGTTATCAACCGTTTCATGCACAAAATCCACAAGTAACCGGTAGCCATGGTGAGACATTGCTACTGCCTTCGATTAGGGCAGTTAAATTCGATGGCCAACATGAACATAAGGCAAGTGAATACAATAAGCCACCGGTAAGGAAATCGAATCAAAAGACGAAAGTGGAAAATACCAAAGCCAATTTCACAAATAAGAATCAAAATTCCAAAATTGAAATTACAAAAGCCAACTTGACAAAGTTGAATGAAAACACAACAGCTAAACCCACAACAAAGCCTTTGACCAAACCCAATAAATTATATTTCCATCCGCACCGTGTCGAGGTACCAAAACCCCAAACAGCCGAGGAAAAGAAATTGTTGCCCACCCATTTTGTCATACCGGTACGTTTGTACAAAAACAACAAACAACAATATATTCAAAAACACAATCCCCAAGAATATAAAATTAAGGGCTACAAAATCGTGGGAGACATTGATCATTTCTATGGTAAAACGAAAACCTCCGCCTCCTCCTCTTCGGCGCATGTGCAGAAAGTAAAATCCTCACCCAAATATCATTTGTTGTTTTTGCCACAAGAAGTTATGGCCAAGAATAATGGTGGCAACAGTATTGAAGCCATGGATGCCAATTCCACGGAAACCTCATCGAGGGAGGAGAAGTTGGCAAATCGTCCTTTCAAACTGCAGACCAATACCCAGACCACCAGTAGTGGTAATTTTGTAAATGCTTCAAGTTCGGCAACTATTATCAGGAAGCGTATTAAGCCAATTAAGGGTGAGGGACAGTCAGTGTTGTCGGTGACATCGGCCTCGGTAATTAAAGTAACGCCTGCACCCAATACCGTACAACATAATCAGCAACAGCATCAACAACAACAATTGCAGCAGACACAAATTGCCCAACCACCTCAGCAAGCACAACAACAACTGCAACAAACACAATATCAAAAACCTGGCAATGGACGACCCAACAATCAGCCTCTGGCTGTAAGCTCACCTGTATATTTGTCGAACCAACCAGCCACGGCTCCCACAGGCAATGCCGACAATAACCAAGGAGTGGATAATAATGGCAATCAAAATTCCATGAAAAATCGACCGGCATTTGTAAATCCCCTCTTGGGACTACAATCCAATATTCAGAACAACATCAACAATATTAATAATGCCACCTCCAATGCCATTAAGACCGCGTTTCAGAATATTTTCCGTTTACCCTTTAGACCGGATAACAACAATAAACCCCAACAAGCTGTGACTGATTTCCCTCTGCTTCAAAGTACCGCCCTACAAATGCCACCCGCCAGTCAACAACAGCAACAACAATTCTATTATACTTTGGTGCCCGCCCCAACTGGCAATGGTAGACCACCGGTATTTATTGCTCAACCCACCTACCAAAGTGATCATATGGACTCCGACTATAAATGGGATGATGAAAATATTAGCACAGATTCCGATGCCTCCGATGACAAAGAATCCACACCGTCCTCCGAGGAACCAGTCGAAGAGAAATTCTTGGGACAACATCAACCCATTAAACACATGCAGGAAACCCAAAAAGAAGCCCTCAAACAGGGCGGCATTATTATACAAAAACTGAAGGTGCGTAAGGGTAGTATTGCCATTGCCGGTCCTGGTGGTGTTGCCACCGCGGGTAGTGGTGGTACTGCCATTGTTGGCCCCGGTGGTTATGCTCTCACCCATCCACGTAGCCTAACAATAGCTGGTCCCGGTACCAAAGTTATTGCCATACCAGCCAATGTTGATCTGAAGGATGCCCTGCAACGTACTGATATCAAAACAAAAATGATACCACGCGAAGGACGTATTGTGGCCACTGGGCCGACAGTCTACTATGCTCCCGGTACTATGGATGGTGTGGAAATAGAATAGAATAGCCATTTTCTTGGATTTGTTGAGTTTACAAGAAATATTGAAAAAAAAAATGTAAAATTTAGTAGAAATTATTTAAAATGTACTGTTAGTTTGTAAGTCTCAATTTTATTTTTTAACTCTATAGTATTATTTAAGTTTATTTAATTTAAAACATTTATTTATACAAAAAATATTCAAAATAATAAAGGAGTGTTATGTCACTTCTATGGATAATTTACAAATGAAAATGTGTTGGAAAACTTTTATTGAAGACTAAGATTAAAAATTAGAGGCAGAGATAAAAAAGACAGGTATGAGTGTGGTGAGATGTGGACCACCCCATGTTTTTTCTATCATGTTGGGAGTATAGGGCTTATACAATGTAGTATTCACTCCTATAAGTAGGAGGAGTGTTCTCAATGTTTTTATTAAAGCTTGATATATAATTGATGGGACTGCCATCTATCGTTGCCTAGAAACAAATCATCCTTGAATTGTGTACAGTGGTTGGTGTCCTTGCTTATATAGCGCTGCAATTTTCCTCTGAGTGGCGCTATCTCTTATCAGTTTTATGTTTTTCTCATGTGCTGAAGTTAATGCTGAGGTTGGTTTTAGAAGACCTCGATTTTTTGCATTTTTTATAAAATGGAAATATTCTTATTTTGACGAACAAATGGTATTTCATTAAAAACGAAATTGATGAATGATTACTGTCGATATTTAAACTAATCCATATCACATTTAAATAATTAAATTCTACTTAAAATGTAAGTATTCAATCGGTTGATAAACTAAAAAATGCGAGAGGCTTCGTATGCATTTCATTCCAAAATAAAATTAACTATGTAGGATGTTGTGGCGGAGATATGTTATTGCCTGAAAGGGTTGCCAACTATCGTTGTCTAAATACAACACCGCCTGAATTGTGTGCAGTGGTCGGTGTCCTCAAATTATTTAATGTTGCTTCTGGATGGCGCTATCTCATATCACTTTTATGTTATTATCATGAGGTTGTTATTAGAAAACCTCGATTTTCTGCATATTTTATTAACTAACAAATGGTATTTCTATTAAAACCGAATTGATAAATTATTATTGCAAATATTTAAAAACTAGAAAAGAAAACTAAAAAAAATCGAGGTCTACTTATTACAATGTCAGGCGCATCGGATAAATTTCATCTGGAGAATTTTTATATTGACTAAAAAACTAGCCAAGTAGGTACTTGTGGCGGAGTCTTTGGAAATACATACGAAGTCCCAAACATATAACAAAACCGTTTGATTTTTGTATATTTTGGAGGTCCCTGAAGGATAACACAGCCTCCGTTAATCCCTTCCCTTCACTTATGTAATTACCAACATAGATCCATTTCTTGATATACGAAGATTACTATATATTTTTCTGACCTAATAAATATACACTTTCTCATCCGGTCAAACCAATTGTCGAAACACTTTTTCTACTGCTATTGAGAAACATTTTCTGGCGACGAAAACCGTTGGTCACTCCATTTTGTCCTAATGAGTGATAATAAAAATAAACTATTCGCTGAAAAGTCAGGTCTGTGCAGCGGCTGATCTATAAATTTCTTGTACTGACAGGTCAACTAATGCACAACAAGTTTCGCATAATGCTGAACTGTACAGTGATCGGCAAATTGTAAGTGACCAATCTCGAACTGTTTGGTGTTCTACTGGTAATAGCTTTGGCTATGAACGTGACCGAAGGTTTCGGTAGCACGGGTGTCAGGGCCCCTAGGTCTGCGGATCTAGCCTGGCAGTTGGTGTTGGCCCTTCGGGGAGCATCGTGCTGGATGTGATTTATACCCAAATCGCGGGTAGAGCTGTGGCTCGGTGTGGAGTTGCATTACAAACGGGTGCCTGACCCATAGAACGGCAGGAGTTTTAGATGGGCTCTGCTCCTCATCCAAGGAGGTGATCGCGTCCAAATACGTATGATCGATTGGTATCTGCATTTCGGTGTCGGGGCTTTGGTTGACGCTTTGTATTAACTGATGTTTACAGCACCGTGGGGTAAGGCCGCAAGGTAGGTACCCACGTACTCTAAGCATCTCTGTATAATTTGGTTAAATTTGACACTTGGTTCTTTGACATTTTGGTCCCTAAGGTGGAAAACCTAGTTACGATATCGCTCTACTATATTTTTGAATATTTAAGCCAGGTATTACAACAGAAGAAAGCTGAACTGTACAGTAATCGGCGTATTGTATACTTTAGTTAAATTTTTTAAATTCTTTGACATTTTCGTCCCTAAGGTGGAAAATCTATTCACAATACCGCTCTACAATATTTTTTGGAAGATCTAAGCCAGGTTTTATAACTGAAGTTACTCTATTTGACGTTACGACTTCTCTGAGACTGAAAACCGCATCTCAATCATCAGTACAGCGTCACAGCCAATCACCAAGTGCTTCGTGGAGTGTTTCCTGCACAAACAATTCTCGTTGGATTATCGTTTGGACCTGAGGTGACCTTATAAACATCTTCCGAAGCACAGCGATTATATTTCCCAATTTCTTTGTACCAATCGACAGAATCCTTTTTTGAGCGATCTAGAAATATACGTATAAGAGCCATCATGCTATCCGATCATAATCAAACATTATTGGTGTCGTCTTTGGTCAGAAATGGACCTACATATATGTTCGTACTACAGGGGAGACATCGATATAGATAGTTGAAATATGATGATCGATATACATGTATACATATATGATGCGACCACACAAACCTTTAATACCAATACAGCGTAATTAAACCCTACACAACTATGTTGTCAGGGTATTATAGCTTTGTGCAACCCCCAAACGTTTGTAACGCCGCGAAATATTGGTCATATACCCACCTTTAATTATACCGATCGTCATATCTCGACTAGCTGAATCGATCTAGACATGTGTGTCCGTCCGTCTGTCCATTATAATTTGTAAACACGATACCGGCACAGTTATGGACCAATCTTCACGAAATTTTGCATGTAGGATGGGTTCTGGTCAATGAAGACCCCTAATGGTTTTTTGGAAAAGGTCGGTTAATATTAAGGGGATGAAGTGGACCAAAAACTTTATTTTGGTCGGTTTTTCTGGTCGTTCCAGAGGCCGCAATTATGGCCCAAACCCCGCGAATTTTTGCATGGAGAAGGGGATCGGGCCAGAGAATAAGCATGCATGTTTTGATAAAAATCGGTCAATATTTAGCGGGTCAAATGGACCCTGACTTTTGTGTGAAAAATGACAAAATTTGCATTCTATAGCGTATATATTTACCCCTGAAGAACAAAGACCCAAGAAGTTAATAGAATATCCAAGAGGAGTGGTTGACCTTGAAATTGATACCAATTACATTGTCGTATGTAATCGGATGTGGGAGTTACACTTAAATATTTACAGGTGCTCACGTATTCAAATATTATTTAGTAACCCATTACCACCCTAGAGGGCGAAAATATAGCGTTGATCGCTTTGAAATGTATGGTCAAGGACAGCGCCTATAATTTCCGGAGATAATCAGATAATAATATTGGGATAAAGTGGACCAAAAACTTAATTTGTTGGTTTTATTTTCGAATTGATATATAGACCACAATTGAAAGCCGAACATAACAACACAACCCACGGTGAAGGTCAAGAGAGTGAAAATATTGCCCAAGATCAGAATATAGAACCACACAAAGTTAGATTTTCATGAAAGTTATGTAGGGTATCATATGGTCGGCCCCGTCCGACTATACTGCTCCGCTCACTGGTTAGAGATATTATAGATCTATATCTCGATTACAACATTCAAATATGACAATAGATTTCATACACATAATTGCAGACTGTATTTTACAATAAATAAATAGGGCGGTTTCTAAAGCTTTTAAGCTCTCTAAAAGTCTTTAAAGTTATTTATTTTACAATATAATTTTATTTGTAAGGATAATAAATACAATTGTACAATTTACGTACAAAAACAAATATCACATACAGTATTAAATACTGAGAATAAAAATAAAAAATACAAAGTATTTCCATTTGAAAAGAATAAATCGTTTTTAGATGTAAATAAATGTAAATAACCAAACCACCGTTTAGTCATTGTAAAAAAAAAAATATTTTACTAATTTCCATAAAAAATGTGTACTAAAAAAACTTAGAAATGCTCGAATTGCTGTAAATATTTAAACTAATGCTTTAAATATCCCTTTTTCCATCCTTTCCCAAAATCATGACGATTACCACGATAACACTCCAAAAAAAACTATAAATCAATAATATTATCTAGCTGGCAATCATCTGCATTTCGTACATGGCCCTTTCAAGCTGTTTCTACTCCCTTTACGGCTTTTCAAGCACCTGGTATAAATCTATTAACCCCGGCACATTTGGATACAACATTAAAACAAAGTGAATCAAAAACTAAAGTGGAAAAAGATGAAAACCCACAAATCCAACCTCAACAAATAGTTTCGTTGGGCTCCCCACTACCACAAGCCTTGGCACCCACACAATCATATTTTGTTCTAAATAGTGCATTTTATGATTCGCCATTAACCCGTTATGCCTATACGACCAGTAATCAATTTGTACCTGGATTTTTTCAAAATCCTTCTATTGAAACCATTGAGCCTACCATAAAACCCAAACACCGTGAAGCAGAACCAACAACGAAAAAACCTAAAACTGTAACAAAATCGAAACCGCCTAAATTACAAGTGAAATCCGTAACCACCACCAATAACAACAACAATGGAAAGGCCGACTTTCTAAATGACAAACCCCTATTGGAAGCTGTTAAAAAGATTAATCCCCAATTTATTGTTGAAGATATAATGCCAGTACCAGGTCGTCATGTATATTCCTCAATTGGCATGGAACTTGTGGGATATAGCAAACAGAAACCGATTAATAAAAAACCAAAAACTAAATTGAAGACGAAAAAATCCCAAGTAAAAGTTGAGGCCATTAGCCGAACAGCGACAACGGGAAACGTACCACAAATTCCATTTGGTACATATTTTTTGCCATATTTTTCACAACTTCAACAACAATACGAAAAACAACTGCAGCAGCAACAACAACAACAGCAAGGACAACGGAAAAGTAAACAACTACAAAAGCCAGCTCTGAAAACGGCGTCTTTGATTTTGGAACCCCATTCCAAGGCAATTGTTGGTAATGGTGGTACCGCCATATCAGCGCCCATTTCTAGGGCCGTTCTGAAACGTGGCGTACCTACAAATGTTTATTTCAATCCCGAATCTGTGGCCATAGCTGGTGTTGGTGGTAAGGCGCATGCCCAAGCCGATTTGGAATTGGATTTAATCAATTAAATTTGAAGTATTTGACCATCTGAACAGAGACTGACAGCTAAATCCGAATTTTTGTTTAAAACAAGTAAATAAATAACAAAAAAAAAAAAAAACGATTGAAATGTAACAATATCTAATTGTTAATAAATTAAAAAAAAGTGTACAAAAAATTGGTTCAAATCATTTTATTGTATATTTTGTAAAATTATTTTTTTTAAATAATGTTTTATAAAATTGAACGGCATATTGTTAGTGTGTAGATATATACTTATTTTTTACAGGTTGTGGTATAATGTATATACACATATATTTTTAATATAATATAAACTATACCCCTCCACTATATTTTGATGATCTTAGCCAGGTTTTGTAACTGAAATTGCTCTATTTGACGTTACGAGTTCTCAGAGACTGGAAAACCGTATATCAACCCGAGTACAAGGACACCGCCCGCATTTCGTCTCTTCAGGGAATTTCGTATACCATTGTATACCAGAAGTCCCTGCCGAATATGTGATCATGTTTAACACATTCCTTAGGTCAATTATCTTAGGTCATTCAAACCCGATTCTTTGTTAGGTTTCCTGCTGTGGATTGTATTCTAGATCAGAAGGAACCGTATCTCTATTGAAATCACGATAAAGTTCCTACTTCGGGGTTTCAGAGTATTAAATAATTTTAATATATGTCCATACTTTAATATAAAATCCAATAAAGGTCCCGTCCCAGTTTAGGTCTTAGGAAGGTCATAGCTTCATTTTCATAGCTAGTATTTCAGGTTTACAGATAAGTGTATAATCGTGTATACACCTTCATGTTTTGAAATTACTCCCATATCTCCCATATCCGTATCTGTCACCAGTCTGTTTAACTGGGGCACACGGTAACTCTCGAAGGGAGTAAACGATCTCATCCGAACTTTGCACATCGTAATATTTCTTTCAAACTTAAATAATGTTCGAAAATGAGAATATCGATACACTCCTTCTGGTACCTCCTCCACAAAATGGTTAAAATTTTGCGGAGAATTAATATTACCAAGCCTAGATGAAGCCTCTCCTCAAAATTTTGACAATTTTATATCAAACAATTGTGCGAACATCTCAATATCCTATAAAGGCTCACAATTTTGAAAGTTTTATATCAAGCAATTAAGCGAACCTAACCTAACATTGATCAAGTCCGAAGACGGCAACCATTGGTCCACTTCTTAAGGCACCTGAAAAGTGACAAAATGTTGAAAATCAAGTTGAAGATGGGGAATATCGATTCACTCCTTCTGGAACCTCCTCCAAAAATGGTTAAAATGTTGATGAAAATTACCTAAACCTGAAAGAAATCTGAAAATGAGACCTATCGCTCAGACCCTTTTGTAAAAGCTTGTAAACAGCATATGGAGCATCCGATTTGATCCGTTGATTATAAACTCTAATAATTTTAGCATACCTACATTAAATCCGAAAAAGGGATGGTGCTCCTTGATAATAGTATATAGTATAAAGCGAATGGACCTGTGTGGTCTTAACTTGGCAGACCTTTATATTAATACTAACCATAGATCTTATGTAACTATCAGCTATATATGTAGGTCCACCATATGTGGTATTTTCCTACCAAACGAAAATAGGATTCAAATGTCATAATAGGTGTCTGTAAAAAATATTTTTACAATATTAAAGCTAGGCATAGTCCTTTATAAAAATCCATCCTTGGGATAGTCTTTAAAAATATTGATTACAAAATCCAAATTAGGGATAGTTCCTGCAAAAAAATATTTAAAAATCAAAGCTTAGGATTTTCCTTGAAAAACACAATTTAAAGCACCCAAATATTAAAGCTAGACATAGTCATTAAAAAATCCATCCTTGGGATAGTCTTTAAAAATATTGATTAAAAATTCCAAACTAGGGATAGTTCCTGCAAAAAATTATTTAAAAATCAAAGCTTAGGATTGCACTATACAATTTAAAGCATCCAGATAGTTCCAGTTATTAAAACATCCAGGATAGTATATTACCAAGCCTATTTTATTAATCCACGCTTGTGGTAGACCTTGAAAAATACTTTTTAAAAATACAGTTTTTGAAAAAAAAAAATCTATAAAAAATACCACTTTTCGTATAGTCCTTGAGAAAATATCACTTAAAAAGTCCACTCTTGGAATAGTCCATGAAAAAGTATTATTTAAAAAGTCCACTCTTCGGAAAGTCCTTGCAAAAATATTATTTAAAAATTCCACGTTTATGAAAGGATACAAAAGTCAGAATAAGAGCTTTGTGCGCCAAAGATGCTACGGTGACTTAAATTCCTCGTTATTTGATAATTATAAATGTACATACATAGAAAATTATAGAAATAATTATATTTTTACATAAACATAAATATATTTTCATATATATAAATATTAGTTTGCGGCTTTGTAAAATACAAACAAAAATATATTATCTGGGAAATCCTTTCTATTTTTTTCATATATCCCTACTCCTTTTAACATTTCTTGTAAAAAAAAAACTCCAAACCTTGTAGTATAGATATTTCCCTTCCACACTTTTTTCTCTTACGCTTCTCACAATCCACCTATCTACATAGCACACCCTTAGCAGTTAACCTTTAGTTTTCTTTTTAACGGTACATTATGACAAATATTTTATTTTGAATCACCTTACCCTCACCGCCCCAATTATGCACACCTAAAACCTACAACAAACATTATCACAAATGTCCATTAGACACCGAAGTATTCCAAATGAAGAAGTCTTGGCATACTATGGAGGTTTAAAGGGTCAAACTATACACTTGAAAGATGGCCGAATTCATAGAATCCATTCTTCACAAAATAGCCGTGGATCAACAGCAGCAGCAACATCAGCATCCAAAACTACGATTATTTCACGACAAGGACCAACAGCCGCATTGTCAAGCAGTGTTGCTGTGAACGCACACGACAACACCGTGACATTTGCTGATGATTTCAATAGAATCCAATTGGCGGCTGCTCGTCTGGTTGCCATACAGGAAATGGCCAAAAAGAAGGGTACCTTCAGTGAAGAGGATAATCGTATCTATGCTGCCAGCCTCTTGGAATTGGGACAAGCTGCTCAAAGTTTGGCTCTGCTGCAGCAAACGGGTAAAATTCAAGACTTCAGTGTTCTATTGAAACCCTATTCGTCAGGAGCTGCCATGCCTCAGAAAACTCCCATTGCAACAAGTGAAAAGACCGATGAAGATGCCGTTACCGTCGAGGCGCCAGTTGAAGAACAGAAAGTGGAAGAGGAAAAAATTGATGAGGTAACGGAACAGCAATTTAATGAGTCCGATCTCTTGCCTGTTGCTCCAGAAGATCCCTTTGAAGATGTACATGATACTGTGGCAGTTGGGCCACCCAAAAAGGATGCTTCCGTGGCTGAGGCAAAGCCAGTTGGTGAGTTGGACAACAACATATAGTAAAACGTGTATTTTTATAACAAATATTCTTTTGTGTTTATTTCCAGGTGTTTCCATTGTTGGTCAGGGAGGTGTAGCCTCCTCCAAACCCAATGCTGTTGCCCTTTCGGGACGCAATGGTTTGGCCGTTTCAGCCCCCAAGGCCACTGCCATAGCTGGTGTTACTGCCGAAGAAGCAGCTGCATTCAGTGTGTCTGTACCCAGTCGCAATCAATTGGTAATTAAATCGGCCGCATCCCGTTTAGCCCCTATCGATGAATCTCCTTCGTATGATGACTATGATTATATCGAAACAACACCCATTAAAGCTAAAACTCGTAAAGCTCCCCTCTTGAGATCGTCCGGTTTGATACGTAGCACCAATAAAATGCATCCAAAACCAATGATGGCCACCGCCTCAGCTGCCGATAAAATTGTTCAGATGTGGCGTACAGCCATTGCTGAAGATTATGCATCACCCAACCGTTATGATGATGGCGACGACGAAGAGGATCGTTTAGATGATTATGACATTGAACAATTGTATAAGATCTCGAAAAAATTATCGAAACGCCGTAGATATTAAGTTGACGGATTGCACGCACACCCTTCTGCCATTTATTTATTATTATAAGAAATAACCTTTTTTATATAATTTAAATTACAATCAATTTTTTAATATATTTATATCAATTATCATATGATTATTTATAAACAAAAATAATAATAAATTAACGAATTTAGTACTGATAAATAATTATATAAACTTTATGAAAAAGAAAAAATCTAAGGAACAAATAATTGGGGGAGTTATTAAAACTAATTAAAAAACTAAAAAGGGTCAGTCGATGTTGCCATCAGCTATGACATGTCGGATGTAGAATGAACTAATTCCGATTTTTGTTGGTGTCGTACCAAGACGATGGACCTATTTATTCCATAGTGGCACTAAATCTATGGTTAACATAAATATCAGGGATTCACAATTCGGTCTATATGTTGTATATGTTTTTTACGAAAGCGGATACACCATTCTCTTCATATGGATTAAGTTTTTAAAATATTAACCATCTGTGCGGGAGCTACCAGAAGGTTAGATCCGATGGATACCATCTTCGGTGTTGATCAGGGGTATTACGGTTTGTATCTATCGGATCAAATCAGTTACTCCATTGACATCATATGAAATTCAAAAATCTTCAAATTTGGGATAGCCATTAAAAATAAAATTGTTAAAAAAACAGTAAGGAAAGTAGTAAAGTGGGGCGGGGCCGACTATATGACACCCTTCAAAACTTTGGGTATATTCAACAGATGAATGAATGCTAACAGACGTCGAATTCTGCAACCTATACTAAATTTTTCATTTGTTCAGATATAGGGTTGCTTCTTACAATGGGACAAAATTACCAAAACTCGGGAGAAAATATATATATAGAAGCTCTATCCAAATCTTAACCGATTTCAAAACTTTCCACATTTCAAAACTTTAGTACGTTGTGCAAAATTTTGTCACTTTTGTGTAAAATCGGACGAAAATATATATGTAGAAGCTATATCAAAATCTGAACCGATTTCAATGAGAATGGCAGAGATTAACTTGTGTGGCAATCGGACAAACTTTGGGTATTTAGTGCACAATTTACATAAAATCGGAAGAAAAAATATATAGGAGCTATATATAAATCTGAACCGATTTTCAGGAAACTTTACACACATTACTCCAGACTCATTTCAGTACACTATGCCAAATTTTGTGCAAATCGAAATATGTATAGGGACTTTGGTACACCATTTACATTAAATCGGACGAACATTTATATAGGACCTATATGTAAATCCAAACCGATTTTCACGAAACTTAACGTGCACTATTCTAGACTTAATTTAGTACGATATTCCAAATTTCGTGAAAATCGAAAGATATATAGGGACTTTGGTACACTATTTACCTTAAATCGGACGAAGATATATATGGGAGCTATATCTAAATCTGAACCGATTTTCAGGAAACTTAACACACATCATTCTAGACCTAATCCATTTCGACAATTCAAAAGATATATAGGGTCTTTGGTACACCATTTATCTTAAATCGGACGAAGATATATATGGGAGCTATATCTAAATCTGAACCGACTTTTCCCAATTTCAATTGGGTTCGTGCTTGGGCCAATTAAGTGACCTGTGCCAAATTTCATCCAAATCGGATCATAAATGCGACCTGTACTTTGTTAACAAAATACATGGACGGACGGACAGACGGACATGCATAAAGAGTAAAGTGATTGATTGACCGATTTAACGATTCATCAACGCGCAGACGAAAGGGCTGAAGCTAGAATCTTGAAATTTTAGGTGAGGGTCACTCTTGGTCCAAATATGTCAGATAAGGCTGGGTTTTGGGAAATTCGTACTAGAACGGTACGAAAAGTACTAAATGTGATACCATTTGTATTTGGCGAACCGGTAGAGCTAGAAGTCTAAAATTTGGATTGCAGGTCGTTGATGGAGTGTAGGATTGATGTACCAAAGGGAAATTCGAACTATAACTATCCGAAAAGTACGAAAATGTTTGGTACAATTTCGTAGCATGTGAGCGGATAGCACTAAAAACTGGAAATTTGAAGTGCGAATTAAGGTTGAGAAGTAGGTTCCATTTAAGGAGATGGTTTTGGAAGTGAGGACTCATGTGTACGAAAAGTACTATATGGTACTATATTTGGTGCAAATTTATTTTGGAAGTACAAATCGAGCTGGAATCCTGAAATATGAAGTTAAAATTACCGTCGGAGTGTAGGAATGGGATATGTACGTAGTTTTGAAAATTGTTTACTAATGTGTACGAAAAGTACTAAATCGTACTATACAATTGGTACAATTTGGATTTGGATAATCCGATAGAGCGGAAACAATGCAATTTGGAGTCAGGATCATGGTGGGGGTGTAGGATTGGGGTCAGGATTCAGTTTAAGCAATTTAAATTCATGGGTACTAAATGGTACTATATTTGGTACAATTCGAATTTTAGGCAAACCAATAGAGCTAGATTCATAAAATTTGGAGTCATGATCACTGTTGATGTGTAAGATCGGGATATGTAGGAAGTTTAAAAAAAAAAACTACTAATGTGTACTAAATTTGGCACAATTTGGATTGTGGGTGGGTGAACCGATAGAGTTGGGATCCTGAAACTTGGAGTCATGATCACTGTGGGGGTGTAGGATTGGGATATGTAGGAAGTTTTGGAAATTGGTACTACTGTGTACTAAATTTGGTACAATTTGAATTGTGGGAGGACCGATGAGTTGGATTCCTGAAACTTGAATTTAGGATCACTGTTGGGGTGTAGGATTGGGGTATGTAGGATGTTTTGGAAATTGGTTCTACTTTGTACTAATTTTGGTACAAATTGAATTGTGGGTGGACAGATAGATAGAGTTGGAATCCTGAAACTTGGAGTATGTAGTAAGTTTTGGAAATTTGTACTACTGTGTACTAAATTTGGTACAATTTGAATTGTGGGTGGGTGAACCGATAGAGTTGGGATCCTGAAACTTGGAGTCATGATCACTGTGGGGTGTAGGATTGGAGTATGTAGGAAGTTTTGGAACTTCGTACTACTGTGCACTAAATTTGATACAAATTGAATTGTGGGTGGACATATAGAGTTGGAATCCTGAAACTTGAATTTAGGATCACTGTTTGGGTGTAGGATTGGGGTATGTAGGATGTTTTGGAAATTGGTTCTACTTTGTACTAAATTTGGCACAAATTGAGCTGTGGGTGGACAGATAGAGTTGGAATCCTGAAACTTGGATTTAGGATCACTGTGGGGGTGTAGGATTGGGGTATGTAGTAAGTTTTGGAAATTGGTACTACTGTGTACTAAATTGGTACAAATTGAATTGTGGGTGGGCACAGAGATTTGGAATCCAGAAACTTGAATTTAGGATCACTGTTGGGGTGTAGGATTGGGGTATGTAGGAAGTTTTGGAAATTGGTACTACTGTGTACTTAATTTGGTACAATTTGAATTGTGGATAGATAGAGTTGGAATCCTGATACTTGGATTTGGGTTCACTGTTGGGGTGTAGGATTGGGGTATGTAGGAAGTTTTGGAAATTGGTACTGCTGTGTACTTAATTTGGTAAAATTTGTATTGGCGGTTGACAGATAGAGTTAGAATCCTGAAACATGGATTTAGGATCACTGTGGGGGTGAAGGTTTGGGGTATGTAGGAGGTTTTGGAAGTTCTTTAAAAAGTTCACCCTTCGTATAGTCATTAAAAAATATTATTAAAAAATAGGCCTTGAAAAATTTTTTTAAAAATCCACGATTAAGATGGCCCTAAAAATTTTATTTAAAAAAGTCAGGCTTAGGTAGCCCTTTAAAAAATATTATTAAAAAACGCTGGATACCCCTTAAAATACTACTAATAACATAATGTTTAAAATCTGGGTTTCAAATTTGTAGTCTTTTCGGTAGATAAATGTTGAATAATTACATCTCAATTCTCAGAGAGTAGTGATTTATAAAATCTATATGAAAACTATCATTTACAGACAGACATGACTTTATTTACTAAAATTTTAAGATCTGATTATAGTTTTGTAAAAATGTTCTAGTTGTAACTGCAATTAAACACTTCCATCTCTGTGACCATGCAATATCTTATAAATCAAAGCCTACTTTTAGGTGTTAATAAAAAAACGCGAGTATCATTTTTAATACAGTCATTATTATGAATATCATGAATACTATCGAAAAGTCATCCACACCATATAAATGACGAATGCCTAGCACACCCATTCCTCCCTGCTTCCATTCGACATGGCAACATTAATTATTGCTGTGGGCTTCGATGCTAGAACACTTTTCATCTTAACCACAAAGAAAATGCTTCCATTTGTTATACAAAGAAACAATGTTAAAGTCTTTCTTGTATACAAAACCACAATGATTGTGGTTTTGACCACAAATATAGAAACAATAAAATTCTATTAGAAATTGTCGCACAACCACAGCACTTACCTTGGGCATTGGGTGTAGCTATTAAAAATGCACACACATGCAGATAGGAGGTCTTCTTGTATCCAAAATACAAGTTTTCACTTACAAATAAATTCCGGGTACTGTGGAGATAATCATCATCATCATCATCATGATAATGCAGATTGTCATTTGATATATTTGACCAGAGGCCAGTTTTAGAAAAAAAGAAAACAAAAAAACTACCAGCTTTACAAGTTAAAATTAGCCTGTGTCTCAGCTAGCTTGACCATAAACTTGAATTGTTATGCTCTTGAGCATAACAAAAAAGAAGACAAACAACTAAAGAATTGATCCTGTTTTGTCGACTTAATTCAATAGCAACTGAATAGCCTTTCTAGTTTTAACTAGGAATTAGGGTTGCCATAGTAATGGAAACTATAAAAAAAAATTCACAAAATTAAGTAATGTTTAATGAATGTATGTGGAAAATTATTGGTCATTATTGACATTTTTTAAGCTGTAATACAATCGAGTATTTTTTATGCAATATGTTTTAAGGATTTTGTCAAGGACTATCTGAAGATTGGATTT